TAAAAAGATCATATACCATGAAGTGGGATTTGTTCCAGGGATGCAGAGATGGTTCAACATCCACAAATCAATCAACGTGATACACCATGTTAAGAAAATGAAGAATAAAAATCACATGATCATCTCAATAGATGCAGAGAAAGCATTGGACAAGATACAACATCCATTTATGATAAAAACTCTGAATAAAATGGGTATAGAAGGAAAGCACCTCAACATAATAAAGGCCATATATGACACACTTACAGCTAATATCATACTCAACAAAGAAAAACTGAAAGCTATCCTTGAAGAACAGGAACCAGACAACAATGTCCACTTTCGCCACTCTTTTTTTTTTTTTGTGGGGAAGATCAGCCCTGAGCTAACATCCATGGCAATCCTCCTCTTTTTGCTAAGGAAGACTGGCCCTGGGCTAACATCTGTGCCCATCTTCCTCCACTTTATATGGGACGCCGCCACAGCATGGCCTGATGAGCGGTGCATTGGTGCACACCCAAGATCCAAACCTGGGCCGCCAGCAGCAGAGCGCACACACTTAACCACTACGTCATGGAGCCAGCCCCTCACCACTCCTATTTAACGTAGTAGTGGAAGTCCTAGCCAGAGCAATCAGGCAAGAAAAAGAAATAAAAGGGATCCAAATTGGAAAGGAAGAAGTGAAACTGTCACTATTTGCAGATGACATGATTTTATATATAGAAAACCCTAAAGAATCCACCCAAAACTTTTAGAAAAAATAAATGAATACAATAAAGTTGCAGGATACAAAATCAACAGACAAAAATTTGTTGTGTTTCTATACACTAACAACAAAGTAGCAGAATGAGAAATTAAGAATACAATCCCAGGGCCGGCGCAGTGGCGTAGTGGTTAAGTTCGTGCACTCTGCTTTTGCGGCCCAGGATTTGCAGGTTCAGATCCCAGGCGTGGACCTATGCACCACTTATCAAGCCTTGCTGTGGCAGGCATCCTACATATAAAGTAGAAGAAGATGGGCATGGATATTAGCCCAGGGCCAATCTTCCCTAGCAAAAAGAGGAGGATTGGCAACAGATGTTAGCTCAGGGCTAATCTTCCTCATCAAAAAAAAAAAAAAAAGAATACAATCCCACTTACAATTGCAACAAAAAGAATAAAATACTTAGGAATAAATGTAACCAAAGATGTGAAAGATCTGTACTGTAAACTATAAAACATTTTGAAAGAAATTGAAGAGGACACAAAGAAATGGAAAGATATTCCATGCTCTTGGATTGGAAGAATTAACATAGTTAAAATGTCCATACTTCCTAAGGCAATCTACAGATTCAATGCAATCCCTATCAAAATTCCAACATTTTTCACAGAAATAGAACAAAGAATCCTAAAATTTATATGGAACAACAAAAGACCCTGAATAGCCAAAGGAATCCTGAGAAAAAAGAACAAAGCTGGAGGCATCACACTCACTGATTTCAAAATATACTACAAAGCTACAGTAATCAAAACAGCGTGGTACTGGCACAAAAACAAACAACAGACACAAAGATCAGTGGAACAGAATTGAGAACCCAGAAATAAACCCACACATCTGTGGACAACTAATTTTTGCCAAGGGCATGAAGAACATACAGTGGAGAAAGGAAAGTCTCTTCAATAAATGGTATTGGGAAAACTGGACAGCCACATGCAAAAAAATGAAAGTAGACCATTATCTTACTCTGTACACAAAAATTAACTCAAAATGGATTAAAGACTTGAATGTAAGACCTGAAACGATAAAACTTCTAGAAGAAAACATAGGCAGTATGCTCTGACATTGGTCTTAGCAGCATATTTTCAAAGACCATGTCTGACCAGGCAAGGGAAACAATAGAAAGAATAAACAAATGGGACTACATCAAACTAAAAAGCTTCTGCACAGCAAAAGAAATCATCAACAAAACAAAAAGACAACCTAACAATTGGGAGAAGATATCTGCAAACTGTATATCTGATAAGGGGTTAATATCCAAAATATATAAAGAACTCATACATCTCAACAACAACAACAAAACCCAATTAAAAAATGGATAAAAGATCTGAACAGACCGTTTTCCAAAGAAGATATACAGATGTCCAACAGGCACATGAAAAGATGTTCAGCATCACTAATTATTAGGGAATGCAAATCAAAACTACAATGAGATATCACCTCGTGCCTGTCAGAATGGCTATAACTAACAAGACAAGAAATAACAAATGTTGGAGAGGATATGGAGAAAAGGGAACCCTCATTCACTGCTGGTGGGAGTGCAAACTGGTGTAGTCACTACGGAAAACAGTATGGAGAGTCCTCAAAAAATTAAGAATAGAAATACCATATGATCCAGCTATTCCACTGCTGGGTATTTTCCAAAGAACATGAAAACATGAATGCGTAAAGATACACACACCCTTATGTTCATTGTAGCATTAGCCAATAGCCAAGACTTGAAAGCAACCTAGGTGCCCATCAAGGGGCAAACGGATAAAGAAGATATGGTATATATACACAATGGAATACTACTCAGCTGTAAAAAAAGATGAAATCTTGCCATTTGCGACAACATCGATGGAGCTTGAGAGTATTATGCCAAGCAAAATAAGACAAATGGAGAAAGTCAAATACCATATGATCTCACTCATAAATAGAAGATAAAAACAACAACAAACAAATACATAGAGACAGAGACTGGATTGCTGGTTACGAGGGGAAGGGGGGAGGGGGGAGGACAAAAGGGGTGATTTGCACATGTGTATGGTGATGGATGGTAATTAGTCTTTGGGTGGTGAACATGATGTAATATACACAGAAATCGAAATATAATGATGTACACCTGAAATTTATATAATGTTATAAACCAATGTTACCTCAATAAAAAAGAAAATGTGGCATAGAGAGACAAAATGTTGGGAGAGGGTATGAGACATAAAGGATAGAGAGAAGGGCTAATTCATGTTTAACCTGAGTTACAGAAGAAGACAGTGTGGAATAGAGGCAATATTGGGAGAATGCTTAGGAATAGCTACCACCAAATCATGCCTCCAAGTGAGGGACTGGGAAGTCATATTAACCACAAATGGTACATTATTATGAAACAGTCTGTTAGCTATTTTATTCAATAAGAGAGAACTCTAGAAATCTAGCAGGGGTATCAAGTTATGAAATTATTTTCATTCAATATAACCCTGTATGCTGAGGGGTCATGGTGTTCCTTTTAGCTTGTGGGAAAAAAGGATAAACTAAGCTCCAAGTAAGAGGACAGAAGTGACAATTAACACTGTATTTGGAGTCTCCAGTTCCTGTGTGATTATAACCATTCAGTAAATTGCTCAGGTTTTTGTTATTCACATTATTATTTACAGAACAGAAGTATCTGGACACTTTCCTGATAGAAAAGGGCTGAATGGAAGCTTTAGTTAATGAGCTAATTTATGGAGAGGAGAAATGCTGCCTTTAACTTTTTTTGTATAAACACAACTTAAGGGTAAAAGATCAAGTTAGAAACAGGAAAACAGAATCTCTTATTCTCTTATTCCAGAGAGGAAAAAACATTTGCTGAAAAACTTTGCTCTCCTTCCAAGTCAGCATTTTTCTATCTTGTGTAAAAGAGCATTACAAACCAGTATTACAGTTTGAATAAATACTCTAAGTATGATTTAGTCAGATCTTAGTTAGGTACTGGGGGTGAAATTCTAGATAACTCTAGTCCTAGGACTCCAAGTAGCCAATTTCTTTAAATACATCTTCCTTCACTGTAGATAGCCCTATGCTCCCTCTACGTGATTCGCAAAAGCAAAAAGGAACAAGTGTTCTCCCTTTTGACTGACTGACCAATCATGCAAAGTATCTACATATTATTAAAAATTCCTTCCCAGGTTTCCTCTTAAAATAAAGAACTCACTATATAACTTATATCCCTGTTGTGTCTGGCAATGTCATTGCAAATTAATGTGAGAAAATAAAATAAGACTTCAAGTTAAGAAATCCTAATTCTACCTCTGCTACTACTTGCTCATTCAAAGCCTTAATTTCTTAATTTTTCATCTTTAAAATTAATAAAATAAAGTTTTGTAATATTTTAAATGCTATTTCACATCAAAACCAAGCTTTTATAGTTATTGAAGAGAATAAAATAAACCTCAGGATCACGTTTGAGGATCATTTGTAGCACTTGTTTGAGACTTAACAAGTGACAAATTGTTGGCATCCTTATTTTAGCAGAACAGGTGCAAAAATTAAACATATCATTAATATTAGAAATTTTAGGGCTCTTGGGTCTAAGTACAAGTTGAAAATCACTGACTGGGGGCCGCCTCGTGGCTTAGCGGTTAAGTGCAGGCGCTCCACTACTGGTGGCCCGGGTTCGGATCCTGGGTGCGCACCGACGCACTGCTTTTCTGGCCATGCTGAGGCCGCGTCCCACATACAGCAACTAGAAGAATGTGCAACTATGACATACAACTATCTACTGGGGCTTTGGGGGGACAAAGAAAAAGAGAAGGATTGGCAATAGATGTTAGCTCAGAGCCGGTCTTCTTCAGCAAAAAAAGAAGAGGATTAGCATGGATGTTAGCTCAGGGCTGATTTTCCTCACAAAAAAAAAAAAAAGAAGAAAATCACTGACTGAACAAGGTCAAAGTATTCCAAGTTTTAGAAGGGCACAGGCAGGGCTAAGGAAACCACTGCCAAGACGAGTTGGTAAGCAGGTATCTCAAGGTTCAAATCTTGTAGGTGAACATTGGGTTCACATTGGTTAAATAAATTGAAGCCCATGATTTCCTGAACTACCTGTTCAGCTACTGAGGTACCTCAAGTCTTGCCTTTAGGGGAATTTTCTACATCCGGTTTTATAGAACTCTGTGCTAACATAACTAAAGCCAGAGAACATACGCCACATGCAGCCACTTTCCTAGACACATTGGTAACTCCATCAGTCATCATGCATGTATAAAGAGAAATAATATTTTCTAATGTTTTTCTTTCTTCCCATCAGATTTGCACAATTTCGAATTATTCTTGGAGATTTTAATTTTGCTGGAATTCAGCAAGCCAATCGTATCTTGGGACCCATTTACTTCATCACTTTCATCTTTTTTGTGTTCTTTGTCCTGCTGGTAAGAATGACCATATATGTTCCCTTTTTTGCTTACATTTTTTAGAATAATAAAATGAAATTACTAATTTGGAAGAAATTATAGTATCACTGCCTAGCTGTCACAACACTTTACATTTATTAAGAATGGTGTGTTCTACACAGAAATTGAAATATAATGATGTACACCTGAAATTTATATAATGTTATAAACCGATGTTACCACAATAAAAAAAAAGAATAGTGTGGATTCCTAGTAATCTAGGTTCTCCAGTCCAATGTCTGAATGTTTTCAAGTTGTCCAATGGAGAATGTGATCACAATAGTTACCATCTGGGTATTTGTTGTGCGCCAAGAATGTGCTAAATCTTCTACACATATAACTTGAACGTCCAGGTCTCTCCAGCCTGGGACATGCCATACCAGTAGGTATGAATTAGGCCCTTTATATTCTGCCTATATTGCAATGGCTTTTGGCCCTTACAGCTGAAAGCTCACACGTTTGTGATTTTTAGAAGTCCCCAGGATGGGTCTCTCACGTGTGCAGAGGACAAATCTATTTGGGCTTCCTAATCCAGGAACCTGGCCTTCCTAGTCAAGGCACTGCTACTGTCCTCCATGAAAACATTTTTTTGTCACACACAGCAGATATACCCTGGTGGTGGCCAAGAGTCCTCAGGGTGACAGAGCTGGGCCACAGTGACAAGTGGAGAGGAGGGCTGGGGGTAAGAATACCCTCTCCACAATTCTGTTTGTGTTATCTGGACATTAGTAGTCATAAGAGCCTTAGTAAGATTCTGCCTTTAAACAGCTTTATAGAATTAAAAAAAAAAAAAAACACTGCCCTTAGGAACATATAGTTACATTATTCTGTTTTTTTCTTCTGATATGTAATATTGATAAATTAATGTATATATATTAGTAACCAGTTCACATGCACTATTTTACATTCTGCTTTTCTCATTTACCATAAATATATATGCCTATATCCACACACTACACATTTCCCATTCTACTATATTATAGTCTGCAAAGCCATTTCTCAAGTATTGAGCATATGAGTTACTTTTAAAATTTAAATCTAACTTTACAAATCCCAGCACCTGTCAAAGTCACTAACATTTAAACTAAATTTTTATTGAAATAATTATTTGAATATTTCTCCCCAGAACATGTTCTTGGCAATAATTAATGATACCTATTCTGAAGTGAAAGCTGATTATTCACTAGGCAGAAGGCCAGATTTTGAGCTTTGTAAAATGATTAAAGAGGTATGTCAAATTCTTTTCCTAATTAGAATTCTAAGACAAATCTTGTACAGTTTTATACTCTTATAGTTTAAGTAACACTTAAACCCCAAGTGGTAGTGGGTTTTGGGGATTTTTTTGGAGGGGGGTGTTTTTTTGTTTTGGTCCAGTGTTACTCATATTCGTATAATTTCACTAACAAGGCAGTGAGATACGCTCTCTGGCTTTAAAAATGTGGCCAAAATTATTTCCGAGTTCCATATATCAAATAGTAATTGAGCTGTTTACTAAATGCAAAGCACTGTTGGATATTATAATAACTCGTTCTTCTCTCCAAAAGTTTTAATTTAGATGCTGGTAAATTTCCACAAACAATTTAAACTCAGAACTCCATGTGCCTTATCTTCCTCACTTTCCTGTTTGTGTTAATGGCAACGCTCTTCTCAGTCACCCACCCTGGCTCAAAAACCTTGGACTTTTTATTCCCTTGTCCCTTATATGCTCTGTTGCCAAGGCTTGTGTGTAAAGTTCATCTCTGTATTTTTGCTCACTTATGTGGAACTCAAGGACTCTTTGAATTCTAACTGCCATCACTAAATTAGGGCCCTAAGTACTTTTCACCCAGCCTTCTGAATAGTAACATGTTCTTAACTGTTCTAGCCTCTTTCCTGTGCCAGCCCAGCTCTGATCATATCATTTCTCTGCTCAGAATTCTTCAAAGTTTCCCTGGGCCTGTCAAAATAAGTCCAAATTCTTTACTCAAACATTCAAGGCCCTTCTCAATTCTCACAGTCTCAACCTAGCTTTATTCATTATCACTTAACTATAGAATTTCTACCTTCCCTGCCTCCATTTACAGCACTGAACGTCCCAGCTAATGTGTGAGCACAGTGCTCTTTGCTATGCTCTCACTCTCTCCTCTGGGCCTCTACTCATCTCATCCCCTAACTCCAGGAATATTCCCTCCACTCTCTCACTGACATTCTGTTCTCCCTGACAGAGTGGAATCTTCCCTGTCCTCTCAACACCTACTCTCACTTTGAGTGTAGCAGAGTTGTGTGTACCATCTTGCCCATCTCTGCATACCCACGGCTCTAACCATAGCACTTCACATAGAAAAGGTCCTAATAGCTGTGGGGTTAGTTCTGCCCAAGAACTTACCTGTAACAGAAAACTATTAATATGTCCCCCATTGAGCTTAACTGTGGTTTTTTTCATCTTTTATCTCTTGATTATGATGTTGGTTATGTGCATTAAAGTGTTAACATCCTTAATGCAATACATGTTAATAATACTCTTTAAAGATTTTTTTCAAGTTCAAGTATGATGTCCACAAGAGAACCCCTTTTTCTTTTTCACCATCAGGCAGAAACCATAAGTGGTGACAAAGTGAAAGGATAATCATAGCATTTGCCTCCACATTTCTATAGGGTAGCTGTCCCTAGAGACAAGCATTCCATATTCCCTTTACCTTGATCAAACATTAACAGTACAGGATATATTTTTTGATGAACTTTTAACTATTTTTAATTATGCCCAGAGTTACAACAATGCTCTCGAAAAACTCAATCTAAAGAAACCTCAAAAGGATGAAAACAAGAACAAGTAAGACGACTTTCCCTAAATTTTTAACTTACCATTTTAAAGCTCTAAATTATATGAGATGTAAGGTTACAATGAGAGTAAGGTTTTGATTGCAAAACACTCACCATCAAATGTGCAGATTCTAAATATGTTCTCAATACATTCAGCTAGTGCCTTCTAATTTCTGAGAGTGTCATGAAACTCTAAGCTAATTTAAAATTAATGTAAGGCATGCCATGCCACTCAGAGTTTTAACAGAAAGCTGGACAGGAGAGTAAAGTTCCTCTAAAAAGGTAAGAAACAGTTTTAGTCTACATTAAGTGCATTTATTTAGCTATCAAAATAAAAATATTTTTACACAAAATATTTAAAGATACACATATTTATTGAGTCATTTTGGTGTCAAACTGCTTCCAAACTCATACTTCTGGCAATGGGACACAATATAAACATTTTTTTATAGGTATAAATGGGATACTCTGGAAAACTTATTAATAACCACATTTTCCAAATAATTAGTGTTGTCAGAAAGAACAGAAATGCAATTCAGATCCTTACTACATATCTGATTGTATTTTATGCTGGCACTTCCCTTTTTACTGTCACATGCCTCTGATTTTTATTTTATATTCTCAGTATGAAAAGCGGAGATTTGGCTGAACGAGCCAGAAGAGAAGGCTTTGACGAAAATGTAAGATTTTAATTTTATCATAAAGAAATGATAACTCTATTAGAAATACGCTTACAAAAAAGTTCTGATTAAGAATTAATGATTTGGTTTTTTCAGAGCAGGAATTGCCACCTCCAAATATTTCTCTCAGAATCTAGATCCTTTCCTGTTTAGGACAAATCATTTGGATTCCAGATGTTCCCTCTCTCTTATTGGTGCTCTCAGCCAGACACCCTGGTCCTACAGCTGTACACTCGCTATGGGACCATCACACAGGGTTTAGTGAATACACTCTATTGAGATGATATAATTTTTCTCTTGCAATCATTAATGTGATGAATCACTTTAATGATTTTTTTTATATTTCAAAATTGTAATATATATGTTCAACAAATCACTTATTTTAAGAAACAATTATAAAGCAAACCCTCACATACAATTACCACCCAAGTGAAAAAAACAGAACATTGCTCTACTTCTGATTGCCAGCCCAACCCCTGAATTGCTCAGAAAGAGGACAGCATGGTCAGGAAATTGGAATAAGCAAGAAAGTACATATGTTGGAGTGAGGTTTCTCATTATCAGATAACGGAGTTACAAAAATGGAAAGGTTGAAGGTTAAAACGAACCTTGCGGTGTTGGATTAGAATTTGCAGATGTATATGTGTGTGTGTGTATTTTCTAGCTCTGTTGCCCACATTTGAATTGTGGTTACTCTCAGACACCATAAGGTCCTGCTGTCCTAGCACTTCCACTGAGAAAGCTAGAAGCAATGACATCCTAGTAGCAATGACACAACTAGTGCCTAGATCTTGGTTTCCAAATACCATTCTCCTCTAAAAGGAACCAAGGCTCCTTGGAGATAAGGCTAATTCCAGGGCTGAAAAGTACAAGATGAGTCTGGAATATCTTCTTGAGCCAGAAAGTACAAGTGCTCACAGACTGATGGAAATCTATGAAAAAGAGACAAGAGTCAGCTTGAAGGGGCTCCCACTGGCCAAATCTGGGACTATTTAAGCACTATAACGAATAACGACTTATAACTCATTGAATAAAATAGAATTCCATGAGTCCACACTGATCTAAACATACACATGAATAAAAGTCTGAGGAAGAATAGGACATTTCCACACCTCTCCACAAAATACATACTAATTACAAAAAGAAAAGGGGTAATGTCAGAGTGGAGAAGTCTGGCAGATATCACCTTAATCAGTACTGGAACAAGTCGAAATCATACCCCACCTGAAAGGATGCCAAAGAGAACACAGCATCCGTTCTGTAACATCTGCCAAAGATGCATAACATAATGAAACATCAGACAAAGCTAAACTTAGGGACAATCTACAAAATAACTGGCCTATATTCTTCAAAAGTGTCAAAGTCATGAAAGTCAAGGTAGAGCTGAGGAACTATGCAAGACTGAATGAGATTAAAAGACAAGAATATACAACGCATAATCCTGAACTGGATCTTTTTACTATAAAAGGCATCACTGGAACAACTGGTAAATTTGAATGGGGGACTGAGGATTAGATGGTAATAATCTATCAATATTAATTTTCTGATTCTGATAGTTGTACTGTGATTATAAAGGAGAATGTCCTTGTATCCAGGAAACATACACTGAAGTATTCAGGAACAATGGGGCATTCATGTTGGCAACTTCAAATACTTCAGGGGAAAAAAAGTATTTGTATTGTTCTTGTAACTTTTCCGTAAGTTTGAAATTCCTATAAAAAACAAAATAAAACTATATTTCAATAAACCATTTCTGAAATAAAAGATACCTGGATAAAGTACCTAGAATGAACATGAGCCTTATCCAAGTAAAATTTGGATTTACTTACAAGGAAAATAAAATCAGGTTAGCATGACAACATTCAACACCATAAATCAACAGAACACCTAAAATATATGCAAGGAAAGAAAACGTAAGCCAAGGATTTTTATATCCAGCAAAGCCGTGCTTCAGTATAAAGGCTCAAACAGTTTTGAACGTGTAAGAACTCAAAGAATACTGTTGTATTCCTGAGGATTCTACAAGAAGATCAGCTTCAGCCAACTAAGAGATGATTGGAGAAATGTTGGAAAAAAGAAGGGCGAGAGAAGGTATAAAGTGCAAAAAGCTGACTGACTGGTGCACATGTAATAGCTAGTAGTGAAAGAATTATCATTTAGAGTTAATAATCAAGAAGAAGAAACTGTAGCATATTTAAGAGTACAATAGTAAAAATATATTGTTTTACTGATTTTAAAACATTTTTTTTCACATTTTAACATCTCTGAAATCAAGATGTGCTTTATGGTTGGTGGATAGTGTGTCATACTTTACCTGGCAGCATTTTTTTCCCCAAGTGGTACATAAAATAATGGGGTATCTTACAATAAACTCCATCTCTCAGATACAATGAAATTTGGTAATACAATTAAATATAATTGGGTAGTAGAGAGGAAGGAGATATGGAGGAAAAAATTACAAGCTAATTTTCTTGTTCAACTTGTTTGGTTCCTTGTTGAGGGAACCAAAGCAAGAAAGGGAGGACTCAGAGTGTATAGAAAGATACATGAATAAAGACAAACCCCTAAAACAAAAATGCATACACTTCTGAAGTGCAGAAGTACCAAAACAAAAAAAAGAACAGAAAATATACCACATGGTAAAAGACTTAAAATATAACATAAAACAAGATGATGTAACTGTGACCATATATATTTGACATATCAGTAAAGGCGACTAAATTCAATTTATTTAACAAGAAAAAGAAAATATTTTCAGATTGAATCACGAAGCAGCACCCAATTCTATGCTAGATCCTAAAATATATACCTAAAACAATGTGATTCAGAAAAGTTAAATGTGAAAGCATGAGCAAAGGTAGAACTGGAAAGCTAAAGATATCAGGGGATACAACTTAATGTAAGTCAAGGTAGAATTCTAGACAAAAAGCTCTAAATGAGATGAAGGGCAGTTTATAAGGCTAAGATAAACCTTAATAGTTATGATTATCTATACACCAAATAATATTTCATCAACTTCCATAAAGTAAAGACTACTGGACTTATAAAAGGAGGAATAGACAGGAACACGCTAAAAATAGAGAACAGAGCAAGGAAAAAAAAAGGATAAAAAAACCCAAAGCAAAACAACATAATGAATAAGGCAATCTTAGAGTTAAGTATTAAACTCTTTATAGTCAGAAGATAAACCTGCTTGTCAAAAACCTATTCATGAAAATTGATCATGTATTGGGCTACAAAGAAAATCTTAATAAATTCCAAAAAGTAGTTAATGTAGAAAAAAATTCTCTGAAAACAACATAATAAAAATTTTATTAACAAAATTAGAAAATAAAGCTTCTTTAACCAAGAAATTTTTAAACTGTCTATTAAAAGATTCTTGAATCAAATAGAAAATACAAAATGAAATTGCAGAATTCCTAGAAAATAAAGTAATAAAAGCACTACATATAGCAGAATCTATGAGATAAAGTCAAAGACTAACCAGAGGAAAATTAATAGCCTTAAATTTATCAATAAAAATCAAAGACTGAAAAGAAATTAATTTTAGCATGTAACTCAAAAAAGTTATAAAGGAACAATAAATAGAAAGAAAACAGAAATAAAGAGAAAAGCAGAATTCATGAGTTACAAACAAAAAGCAGTATAAATAAATAAAAGGCTGGTCTTTGAAAAGATTAGGGAAAAGAAACCACTAGACAACAAATAGAATAAGAAAGAAAAAGCATAAACATACAAAGTAAGTGGGCTGGCCCTGTGGCTTAGCGATTAAGTGTGTGCGCTCTGCTGCCGGCGGCCCGGGTTCGGATCCCGGGCGCGCACCGACGCACCGCTTCTCTGGCCATGCTGAGGCCGTGTCCCACGTACAGCAACTAGAAGAATGTGCAGCTATGACATACAACTATCTACTGGGGCTTTGGAGGGAAAAAATAAATAAATAAAATCTTTAAAAAAAAAAGCATCATACTAAAAATCAAAAAAAAACATACAAAGTAAGAAATTACAATGGGGAAATAATCAAGAAGCAAAAGGAATTAAAAAATACTGCTGAAAGAAAGTGAAGAAGACACAAACAAATGGAAAGATATTCTGTGATCATGGATTGGAAGAATTAATAGTTAAAATGTCCATATTACCCAAAGCAATCTACAGATTCAACACAATCCTTATCAAAATTCCAATGGCATTTTTCACAGAAATAGAACAAACAATCCTAAAATTTGTATGGAACCAAAAAAGACCCTGAATAGCCAAGCAATCTTGAGAAAAAAGAACAAAGCTGGAGGCACCAGGCTTCCTGATTTCAAACTATATTACAAAGCTATAGTAATCAAAACAGTATAGTATTTGCATAAAAGCAGACACACAGACTAATGGAACAGAATAGAGAGCCCAGAAATAAACTCACGCAAATATGGTCAATTAATTTATGACAAAAGAGCCAAGAATATGCAATGAGGAAAGGACAGTCTCTTAAATAAATGGTGTTGGGAAAACTGGACAGCCACATGCAAAAGAATGAAACTAGACCACTATCTTACACTGTACACAAAAATTAACTCAAAATGGATTAAAAACTCCTAAAAGAAAACATAGACAGTAAGCTCCTTGATGTCAGTCTTGGCAATAATTTTTTAGATTTGGCACCAACAGTCAAGGCAACAAAAGCAAAAATAAACAAGTGGGACTACATCAAAGTAAAAAGCTTCTGCACAGCAAAGAAAACCATCAACAAAGTGAAAAGGCAACCTACGGAATGGGAGAAAATATCTGCAAATCATATATCTGATAAGTGGTTAATATCCAAAATATATAAAGAACTCATACAACTCAATAACAAACAACCCAATTAAAAAATGAGCAGAAGGGGCCGGCCCCATGGCATAGAGGTTAAGTGTGCATGCTCTGCTGCTGGTGGCCTGGGTCGGATCCCGGGAGCGCATTGATGCACCACTTGACAGGCCATGCTTGGCGGCATCCCACATAAAGTGGAGGAAGATCGGCACAGATGATAGCTCAGGGCCAGTCTTCCTCAGCAAAAAGCGGAGGAATGGCATCAGATGTTAGCTCAGGGCTGATCCTCCTCACAAAAAAAAAATGAGCAGAAGATCTGAATAGACATTTTTCCAAAGAAGACATACAGATGGACAACAGGTACAAGAAAAGATTCTCAACATCACTAATCATCAGGGAAATGCAAATCAAAACAACAATGAGATATCACCTCATACCAGTTAGAATGGCTATTATCAAAAAAACAAGAAATAACAAGTGTTGGCGAGGATATGGTGAAAGGAAACCCTTGTGTGCTGTTGATGGGAATGTAAAATGGTGCAACCACTCTGGAAAACAGTATGGAGGTTCCTCAAAAAATTAAAAATAGAAATACCATATGACCCAGCAATTCCACTTCTGGGTATTTATCCAAAGAAAACAAAAACACTACCTCAAAAAGATATATGCACCCCCATGTTCCCTGCAGCATTTACAATAGCCAAGACATGGAAACAATCTAAGTGTCCATTGATGGATGAATGGATAAAGAAAATATTATATTTATATATATACAGTGGAATATTATTCAGCCATAAAAAGAAGGAAATCCTGCCATTTGTGGCAACATGGATAGACCTTGAGACCATTATGATAAGTGAAATAAGTCAGACAGAGAAAGACAAATACCATATGATCTCACTTATATGTGGAATCTAAAAAAAAAAGAACTCATACAGAGAATAGATTGGTGGTTGCCAGAGGTGGCAGGTGAGGCAGGCAAAATGGGTGAAGTTGGTCAAAAGGTATAAACTTCCAGTTGTAAAATAAATAAAATATGGGGATATAATGTACAGCATGGTGACTATAGTTAAAAGTACTGTATTATATATTTGAAAGTTGCTAATAGAGTAGATTTTAAAAGTTCTCATCATATACAAAAAAAGTCTGTAACTCTGTGGTCATGGATGTTAACTAGACTTATTGTGGTGATCATTTCACAATATATACATATATCGAATCATTACAACACCTGAAAAAAATCACTGAGACTTATCTGAATTTTTGTATAACTCTATGCAAATAACATTTGAAAAACTGAATACAATGCATAATTTTTCAATGAAAATAAAATTTACTAAAACTGAGCCCATGGGTCAGCCCAGTGGTGTAGTGGTTAAGTTTGCACACTCTGCTTCAGCAGCCCAGGGTTCAAAGGTTCGGATCCCAGGCATGGACCTACGCACTGCTTATCCAAGCCATGCTGTGGCAGGCATCCCACATATAAAGTAGAGGAAGATGGGCATGGACGTTAGCCCAGGGCCAGTCTTCCTCAGCAAAAAAAAAGGAGCCCAGAAGAGATTTTAAAAAACCTAAGCAAGTCCATTCTGTGGAAGAAATAATGTCATCAAAGAGCTACCTCCAAAATAAATCATGGCCAGATGGTTTTACAAGGGAATTTTACCCGATTTTTAAGGAACAAATAATTTCAAGCTATTTAAGCTGTTCCAGAACAAAGAGAAAATGGAAAACTTCCAAATTATTTTTATAAAGCGACCATATAGTGATTCTAAAACCTGGCAAAGACTGTACCCCCCAAAAAAAGAATTTAAAAAAAAACAGAAAATATCACTTATAAATCTTGAAGCAAAAATCCTAAAAATATTAGCAAACAGAACCTAACAGAAAACAGTAATATATCATGATTCACATAGAGTTTATTCTAAGAATGGAAAGACAGTTCAAAATTGGGTAATCAACTAATTAACATAATTCATTCCATTAATAGATCCAAAGAGGAAAATTACATGATCATTTTCCACAGATGCTGGGCATTTGGTAAGACTCAACCTCCAATGTTGAGGGAGAAAACAAAACAGGAATCAATGGACATTTTCTTGATATGATAAAAACATATTTATCTCACCCCTAAGCTAGCACCTTACTTAATAGGGAAACACTGGACATGTCAGGGACAAGACAAGGATGTACTGAAGGGATCAGCCAAAACAAGTAAGAGAAATAAAATAGAAGTATAAGAATTAAAAAGGAAGGGGTAAAGACTACCTTTATTTGAGATACGATTCTCTTAAGTTTTCTAGGTATACAATAAACTGAAAAATTATGACAAAAAGAGAATTCAGTAAAATAGTAGAAGAAAATAATTTACATAAACACAATCATGTCACATATGCAAACATCAGTTCGTTAAAAATTATAATAGAAGACTCTATTTATAACAGCAACACAGTAGAAAATGCCCAGAAATTAATAAAAAATGTTTAAAACCATGACAAGCAAAAATTTAAAACATTCCTTAAAGACACAAAAATAATATACTTGACCAAACTAGAAGACATACTTACTACATGTATCAGTCAGACCTAGGAAAATAGAAACCACATTATGTATTTCAAACAGAGAAAATTTACTAGGGAATTGGTTACACAGGTACTGGAAGACAGAAGAAGTAAAAACACTCAGGCAACTAATAAATAATAACTGTAAGAAGATGCTAATGTTACAAAAGGTGGGGTTATCGAAACCCAGTATCTTAAAAGAACGGGTCTGTGGAGCTATTGCTCCGACCTCTGAAGGCTTCCCCCATCCCACTCCTGCTGCTGCTGCTGCTGCTGCTACTTCTGAGGAAGTGTGATGAGTCTGGTTCTGGGTATGCCAAAAGAAGCTGGACCGCTGCAGCCTCAAGCCAACCACTGCTGCTGGAAATAACTACCATTTGCAAAAGCAATGCTGATAGAAAAAAAACAAGAAGACCTTTCTTCCCTCCATCCTTCAATAAGGCAGAACCTAACAAATCCAATAGCAAGAGAGTCTAGGGAATGAGGGTGGCAAAGCCGTAGACCCAGCATCACAGAGCAAGAGTATAAAAGAGTAAATTTTGAATTGAGAGACATTAGCTAAAGTCGGCCCAGTTCACCCTTTTGGCTATTTAGAACACACATTTGAACTTCCATAAAATGTCAATGACTATTTCAAGTTTCCATCTAATAAGATGAAACTATACTTTATACAAATGAAGAGACTCTTATCCTCTCCCCAAAAAGGGAGAAGCAAAGTCCCAACAGTAATTGTATCCATCTCTGGGTGACATTAAGACGTTTTCTACTCAAACCATAATTCCTTAAGAACTTAATGTTTAAACTACAGTTTATTTTTGGAAATGGAAGTATTAAGAGGCACCTCCCAGAGAATTCTCTGGTTTTCAAATACAGCCCTCTCGGCACCCAATTTGTAGCAGCAACCAATTTCCCTTTAGTAACGGGATCAATCACCTCAGTCAGTTGAGTACCTGCTTCTTTGCCTGCTGGTTCAGTAGGCTGAGGAATCCCAAATGGCCAGGTGGTAGTCTCAAATTCTTAAGTCAACTGTTGTGTCCCTTGGTGGAAGCATGCTATCTATGAAGGTCCGTTTCCTTGGACTTCCCCTGCTACCAAGTACTCATCAGTTAGGGTCCAGTCAGAAAAACAGAAACACACCCCGTAGTTCAAAAACAGAGGATTTACTACAGACAATTTGTTTTTGAGGTATTAGAGTACTCTAAGAGCCAATGTGGAACACTAAATTAATCCAGACTAACTGTAGGAGGCAGCCACCACCTACAGGGAAGAGGTGAGGTGACTAGAACCTAGGAGCTTGGAGGAAACGCCCCCAAAGATTTGCTGCTCTGTCTATGAGGAAGGGTACCACTTTCCCATGACTGTCAAGGAAGGCTTCACAGAAAAAGTGATGGTTGAAATGGGTCTTTTGTAGAATGAGTCAAGTCTACCAGACAGTCTATTCAACTCATATTACTAATGCATCCACGTTATTATAGGCCTGGTCAATTAGAAATAGTTGTGGGGCCTATCATTTTTTTACCACCACATTAAAAGGATTACTAAATATGTCAAAACATGGGTGCCATAATGTGGCCAAAATAAAACTAGAAAGATTGAAAGCCATCCTTTCCTACTTAAGATACGTTAGTGTAAAGACAGACACTGTCCTATACAGTTTCTCTGACCAGAACAGCACACATTTATCAGGTAAACAGGGTATGAACTTAGGCATCACCATTCTCTCTGAGGAAAGTAATCAGAACCCTTACACAAGGAGCCACTTTGCTACCTAGCATTATTGCTGGAGCAGGGCAGTAGCATACTGATTTACTGAGGCCTAGAATCTTATCTGGGTGCAGTCTCCTTTACCTGTTTTTCTAGGGCTGTCCCTATTTTCCACAACTTACAGGGCATTTTTTTTCTAGAGTTGGGAAAAGGTATTTGCATACTAAAAGGAAAGTGGGTGGTAGTGAGGACAATGCACGGGAAGGACTCTTTAGGATCAGAGAAGGATGCAACCACAAGAATTTTCCGGAATGAGGAGTGTATTTTTGGGTATGTGGACAGACTGGAGTGCACGAATTGATGCAGTAATTATGAAGAAGGGATTGGGATTGTTAGGTAAGACTGCAGGAGTCTGGCTGAGAAGCAGCTGAGAGGGCAAAGAATACCCACGGATGTACTTTGAAGTACATTTGCTTCATTTAAGAACAGAAGTACAAAAAAGAATGTCTCAGCTTTGGCCAAGTGATGAATGGAGAAAATCAGCTAGCGATGCAGAGGGGAAGAGGCAATGAAACAAGAATAAGCTGATATTTATAATTTTAAAAATCCCCTAACTCTGCTAAACAGTTCTAACACAAGTCCTTTGAAGTGACTCTGCTGATGCACAGACCTAAAAACCAGGCAGAGCAGAAAGCCAGTGCGGCTTATAAAGTCACAGCCCTGGAGAACAGAGAATAAATTAAGATTCTCAACCCTGTGATACTTGTGTGCCAAAGCAGTGAAACAGAGAAAAATTGAAAGGTTGCAGCCTATGCTTTTCCTCCAAATTGACAGGAGATTCAAAGTGCAGAGCGGATGAAAAAATGGAAAGAGAGGCTTGAGAAAAAGTACTATTCTACAGAAACTCAAGATGACTACCAGCCTGTCACTCAACAAGAATTTCGAGAGTAAGCATTTGTTCTAACCAGGGTACTATGGGATATCAATGATACAGGGATGGGGGACATGAGTTACAAACATTATTTTCCTGAACTCAGAACCTTATTCTGTTGAGATGCCGCTTTTTAAAAAATTTTTACCCAACTTTAAACAGAAAGCACAGGACTCCATTAGTTTAAATGTAAGGTGAGAGACAGATTGCTTTTATCTTTACATCTCTAAATAAATGGAATTGTCATTTATACTTGATATGCATAGCAGACACTGTTCTCCACAGATTTAGAATATTAGATCCATAGCTGTCTATACCAAGCATGTTTTAGGAGCTTAAAATACTGTCTTCCCACTCAAAGCATTTTTTTTTCTTTTTTTTTTTGTGAGGAAGATCAGCGCTGAGCTAACATCCATCCTAATCCTCCTTTTTGCTGAGGAAGACCAGCTCTGAGCTAACATCTATTGCCAATCCTCCTCCTTTTTTTTTTCCCCCAAGCCCCAGTAGATAGTTGTATGTCATAGTTGCACATCCTCCTAGTTGCTGTATGTGGGACATGGCCTCAGCATGGCCGGAGAAGCGGTGCGTAGGTAAGCGCCCGGGATCCGAACCCAGGCCGCCAGTAGTGGAGCGCGCGCACTTAACCGCTAAGCCACGAGGCCGGCCCCGACTCAAAGCATTTCACAATAGGCACTAATAACCTGCCGTCTCTTTACACATGAAAGTGTGTTACTGACTCATTTTCTATTTCCTTCTAAACTATCCTCTAGACTCTTTTTATATGCCGTGGAGCTGGAAAAAGAATTACACTACGTCAGTTTAAAACTAAACCGAGTAATGAGAAAGGTTTCAGCTCTACGATATTGAGAGAAGTGGAGGTGAGAATCTGTGATGCAATCACTGACCATTCCTAACAAAGATTTATTCTTGTATTCAATTATTTCCTAAACTTGTCCCCATTTCAGGTACACTTTAAAAGTACTAAACCACCTATTGTCCGAGTCAATGATAATCACCAAATGATTTCCAGGAATTAAGTGCCTCTGAATGAGACCAACGTATAATCCATGCATATTACAACACGCCTCCAGAGTATATACACATTGATACACACAAAGGATTTTATAACAAGATTTATTATTAAACTCTAGGGATGTGAAGGGAAAGTACAAAATAATGCTGCTTATAGTTCATGGGGCAGGTCTCTATAATTAATAGTTCAGTAAGTAGATAGACAGTTTTCTCAGTGTTGTTACACAGAGTATAACAACTGTTGGTGCTCTCATCATGTACCATGTTTTAACTTCCACTGTCCACAGATAAATTAATAAATGTTTAGGATTCTGGAAAACCATTATATAATACCCCAAGTAAAATAATCTTATCTCCATTCTTTCCGATTTGAAGTCTCCTGGAAAAAGTCATAGTGCAGAAGAATAAACTTTCCAACCACCTACAAAAATTTCACGAATATCTTCAAACTGGAAATTCATCTAGATAGTTTCTAAAGTAACACATTTAAAGCTTCCCCAAAGTGCTTCCTTGACTACTTTAAAAGCAAGATATACTTTAAAAAATAAAGAGCAAGCTAGGGGTATCAGAGTTATAAGAAGTCAAGTTATGTTTCTAAGTGTAAATGAGGGTGCTGCAAAAGCCCTGTTTGGATGGTTGGAAAGTTGTATATGGTCAGCATTTTGGAAATTAGAAGGAAATTCTATTAATTTTTTTAGGTTACATAAGCCCTCCTAGAAGAGCCACATGTTCTCTTAGCCCAAGTACATCATTTGACCATAGCACTCAACTTCCACATTGGTGCTCAAAGTCCCTGGATTTTAAAACTCGAACAACGTAATTTTTAAGTCTACCCACCTTCCTCGGGCCAAGCTCTTCTCTTAGAGACTGTACTTCAAGTTTTCTTAAGAGGATAACTCACTACAACAAAAAATGCTGACTATTCTCTCTACATCTCCTCCCTAGATTTCCACAGGGAATCAACAGCATGGCCTTTCCTTGCCTTACTAGTCCCCAGAGCTGTAGCCAGCCAAGTGGTTTGGTAACCCTGTTGTCCCCCAGATGGTCCCTGGTTGAGGTACTTCAAAAAAGCCCAGAAACATTAAGGCAAGGGAATACTTGAGGTCTCTATTTTTTCTTTTTTAACATCTAGTGGGGGGGGGGGGAACATTTACAATTACTTAGAACATTAAAGTTCTTTTATTACAAAAGTCTATACAATGAAGTGCCAGACATAGCAATGCAATTATACTGGTGGTCATATATATCTATATATTATTTGTATATAGATATACAGTTTTTACTTGTACCAAAGTAAAACTATCACAAATTGCCTAATTCTACCACCTACTGCTCAACTATGACACACAATACTGTCACATAGCGTTAAGTGCTGCCATGCCACTTTATCTATTCTACTTGCAACCAAACATTAACAGTGAATAACCAACATCATGAAGCAGCTGTTAATTCTAAAATGAAACCAGTCAGGCCACTGACTTATAAAAATATGGTACTCATATAGATTTAGCATTATAAAGAAGGAATATATTATTTAAAACATTTAAATAGTGCATATGGACATTTTTGCATGTGGTATATAAAATAAAACATTCATATAAAACAATATACAGTGCACATTAAATTAGATGTTTGGATATACTCCTGTCTGGAGACTGAAAGAAATTAAATGTACACTGCATGATGGATTCAAATCAACGTGATACAACTTTTGGCATTTTCAATTTCACTTTTCTAGGTATACATTATGAACTTAGCAGTATCAAAAGGAAACCACAAGAACAGGGCTGGATTTAGTGCTTTATTCCCTAAATACACGTTCACTACCAATGGATATTCCCTCCCCCCAAAAAAGGCATTGCACACACAGATGAAATGTGAAGTACTAGAAATGCTACTTATCAAGCTACTTCATGTGCTTACTGTGTAACAGTGCCAGAAGTCTGAGGTTCATGCTTCCCTCATCTTATTAAAAGATGTTGAAAAAGTCCATTTTTCTATGGAACAAATTGTTATTATTAGCTAGTTAAGAAAACCATGCATGAGTCACTGCATGCAAAACATGGGCACAGTCAAAGTGAGACACTCATCAATCCAAAAAAGCACCAGGAAGAAAATTTAACACTTAGATTAAGCCTGACCAGATTATGCTATTATATTGTTAGCATAAATAAAGTCACCATTCTGTGAAAATGATTAGCAGAATGATACCAGGAGAGTACCTTAAGAAAAGCCATGCAAAGCCAAAGAGAAAAAGATACGCTTATATGTATATGACAAGGGGCATACCACTATACATCTTGTAACCATCTTCTTTAAATAGCATGTGAGCAAAAGGTGGTCCCTTTAGAGGATGTCTTCTATATGGATTTTGCTGATTAAAACAAAAGAAAATGATGCAACCCCCTGAAGGTACATGTAAAAATGCAGTGGTATAGCCCTTGTTAAAAACAGATTTACTTCCGGTATAATGATTCTTTTGCCAATTTAGGCCCATTTGATTGAACACACAAATCTGAGCACCATCAGAGTTCCTACATACTGACATATCTATTTTCTCACATTATCTGGAGGTGGGTAGGGGGAAAAAATGCAGGATCTGATCCAGATAAATCACATCATCGCCAGCTGATAAACAGTAACTGAGGAAACAAACAGTAACTTAAGTCCCATAGGCAGCATGTGGTATGATTCAGTTCTGTGTGTGATGTGCGGTGTGTGTTTTCACTATACTAATACGCAAGGTCACTTTTTGGTCTACCCACTGATATCTTCATCCAGGAGCTGTGTGACCAATGAGTTGCAAAATTTCACTGACATACTACCTGCAAGAAAGTGTCACTTTGGGAATTAAACAGGAATGTGTTCCACAGTAGGACTTGAAATTTCAGTTGATTTTGGTTTTCTAGGAAAACATTTGCATACGTGCATATTTATAGGCTTTTCTTTCAAATTTTCAGTCATTCTGTAAGAAAAAGGCAACCGAAGAATTCAATGTGAAGATTTTCCTCTCAATTTTCTTCAATAATGAAAAAATAATAATAATAAAGTTGGTAATAACAAAAAGCTTGTATTTCCAAAGTTCTTGAAGTTGAAAGGATAAAATACTAGTCTTTTGCTAACAGGATGTATCTGTAGTACAAAACAATGAAGAAAACTAGATGTTTGTTAAAGGTCGAGAGGACAGTCTGTGGTTAATATGGAACATTGCGCTCCCTAGAGAGGGTCTACTTACCCCTCATCATTTCTCTAGTGGCACCACAACCAAGTACAAAATGAGACTCGCTGAGTGCCTGACAAAATGAACTCAAGAACCAGCCAAGTACACAGGATGATAGCTTCAGGGAATACAACTGATTTTATGATGTTTTCAAGGAGCATATTTTATATGGATTTTGAAGAATCTTGTTTGCTGATAAGAACTTCAAGAAGTCTAAGCTTGGCTTTAATTTTCTTGTACTCCCTGTACTCCTCAAGCACTGGAACACGATCCTCTTTCTGGGCATTCCTAGGGTAGAAAATAAAATCTGTAATATTCTAGAGATCATCTGGTCAAGTTCCAGAAGTTGTCCTAATGTAAGACACAATGCTACCAAATATAAATTCAAATAAAAAACTGCTCTGCAAGAAAAAAGATTATTGGACTAATTCCCCCCATCCCCAAGGAACATTCCTAAAATACTTCTATTTTTTATGGATTTCTCTATTGACAGATTAAATGATGCTATACTTATTATCAATGATCACTGTAGATAGCTATAAGTAACCAAATATTTTAATAAGACATGCATTGCTAGACTCTGTCAGGTCTGTGAGTGTACATTAAGTGCTAGAGGGCTACACTGAGTCATTTCATACATTTACTTAACTGTGGCTTCAGTGAATTGAGATGTCAAACATCTTACACATAGCAAGAAAGTAGTTTTCTCACTTTATATTAACGACTCAATGTAATTCAATCACTAGGTAAAAGCATCAAACCATCCTAAGTATAATTATAAGCAAAGTTCTCTTCCAATGAGACAAAGAATTAGAAGGTACTTGGAAAATGCATTCCTGCACTTGAGATTTTTTTTAACCATTTTGCCAACCTATATAGAACACTTTCAAATTAAAGTAAACACATTTAGGAATTCTTAACATAGCTATTGGCTTGGTAAGAGCACCCAGTTACATGGAAAAACTTCTTCTGAGGCCTGAGATAACCCTCATTTCTGGCCACCATCTGAATTAGAATGTATTTTTCTTACTTTTAAAAGAGCCTCACTGGGTCAACTGTGCATTATCCAGTTAGATAAAGGTGCTTGCCATATTGTATTATAGGACCCACATGATGCCACACTGTTACACATCTTGGAAATGAGCAGCCTGGAATGACCCAACATGCAGCCTAAGCAGTAATGAACAGTCTCAGTATAAGAATCAAAACTAGTTGAGGATGTTATGGGACCCTTTCTAAAAGCAGAAATATCTTGTTTCACAAACACTTCCAAAAGGGTGAGGATGGAGAATTAAAAAACAAAGAATAACTGCCACTCAACCAAACCTCCCTAGGACAACCTTGAAATATTTTATCAGATGTAGTTTACTCCAGTTTTGACTTTTTCTTGCCATTAATAGAAGGGCTTCAAAGTATAAAGAGATGTTTTTTACTTTTATTTTCAATGCTAACATCCTTAATATGCACAATTTATTTCTATTCCTACACAGTCATGTGTCAATTAACAACGCAGACACATTCTGAGAAATGCATTGTTAGGTGATTTCATCATTATGTGAACATCATAGAGTGTACTGAAGGGGAAGAAAATTTGCCATCCCAAAATATGTCTCCTTAACATAAGGATTATTTTAGGCTGATTATTTTTAAAAAACAAAAGACTCAGAAAATCTTGTTACATCCCCCTTAAAAAGAATTCAGATTTAAAAAGCCTGTCTCAGGAAGTGAGCTATCACCTTAGCATAACATGACTAGGTGGCAGACAGGGAGGAACCTAGAAAAGCCTGTTTGTTGGGCTCCCCTCTGTGTTCTTCTGTTTCTGTGTGGCCAAACACATGTTTTCCAAACGTTTGCTCCTTTTCACCTACCTATGAATTGCCTACCTTCCTTTGAAGTCCCTGACTCTCCCCACCCACAACATCTTCTTTTGTCTTTAGCTGAAGATGCTATTTAAGGTGAGGGCTTTGGCCATTTTGGTGAGTTACTCAGTTTTCCTGGGTTTCTCTCATGTGTATATATATGTCATTAAACTTTTGTTTTTCTACTACTAATCTGTCTCATATCAATTTAATTCTTAGACCAGCCAGAGAACCTAGAAAAGCAGAGGAAAATTTCTTCCTTCCCTACAATACTTACGCAAACCTAGATGGTACAGCCTGCTATATAACCTAGGCTATATACTAATCTTATGGGACCCACAGTCACATATGCAGTCCATCACTGACCAAAACATCATTATGGGACTAGTCACATATGCAGTCCATCATTGATCAAAACATCCTTATACAGCGCATGACTGTATTTAAGGAGAAAGAGAACTCGATTTTGTGATGCTCAACAAACCTTCCATTTTGTTGATAAAATGCTTCTTCAAATTCCCGTAATGTTTTACGTAGTTTCTTTTTTTCAGCTCTGGCTTTCCAAAGTTGTTCCAGTAATTCAGGCCTAAAATTGAGATGGGAAGAAAACATTATTGAAGGGGCACTGTGGATTCGTTATGTTCTTAACGGTGGTTAGAACCCTGGCTGCAAACTAAAGTCAGCTGGGGAACTTTTGGACCATACCAAAGCGTAAGCTCCACCCCAGACCAACTAAACCAGAACAGCTGCAGGTAGGGCTCTGCATCAGTACTTCAAAAACTCAATCATTAGGTGATCCCAAAGTGAAGCTAGGGCTGAGAACCACAGCCATAAACTATATCAGGTAAAGAAGCTGACAGAGAACAAACTAACAAATAACTCTCAGCTGGTTCCTACACTTTGTTATGTAGCAAATATAGGATTTTAGTTTTTAAAATTTTTAAAACACATTAATGTTTAATATATAAAATGTAAATGACAACATGTATTTGTAAATCACACTTTCTAAAAAGGGTGTATCTCTTGAGCATTGTATTAATTCCCTCCAAGTGCTCAATTATTTACCATTGATTTTCTTGGCATACAAATTTTATTATACAAAGAAGCTAAAATCACAAACCAGCATACATACATAGAAGCTGCCCGAGTACTTGACAATCGGAGATCTAAAGCCAGTTTTTCTTGATTTTCTTCAACATCAGATTCTGAGTTTTCCAATGAAGACTGTGCCTGTACAGCAGTTTTCAAGATATCAGTTAACTCAGGGGACAGACTAACACCATCTTCTTCTTCTTCCTAAAAAGATATCCAAACAGAGAATCAAATAGGCGTTGACTTTCAACATTCCCTTTAGGAAAGAGATCAGTGAATGATTTCTCTTAAAGATTACCTTGATTTCTTCAAAAAAATGTGCAGTTTCTCCTTCTATGATTGGCTGCAACATCTGACCCCTTCGCTTGGTGGATGGAGATCCCTGTAACAATCAACATACAAATGATTTACATTTTAAGAATTTAGTGTTCAACGAAGCTTCACTTCACTATGGAACAGATATTAAACTTTATTTTTAAAATCCTAACCATCTGCTTTTAATTTTTTTAGGAATTCCTTAGTAAATTTATTTTTGCTTATATTTTCTTGTTATATATGTACAAAAGTGATAAATGATAACTTATATCTATATAATTCTAAAAGAGCTCATTCCATAAATATTCTAAAAATTCTAAATGATAAGAAAGCATTACATATAATTTAATTGGGAGCATTTTTCTTTTTAACAAGAACTGTCAACTTTTTTGGTCTGAGGACCCCTTTACACTCCTTTTTTAAAAAAAAAGCTTCACTGAAATATAATTCACACACCCTGAAACTCACTCTTAAAACGTACAATTTAGTGGTATTTAGTATAATCACAAAGTTGTGCCAACATCACTACTATCTAGTTGCAGAATATTTCATCACCCTGCCCAAAAAACCCTGTACTCATTAGCTGTTACTCATTTGCCCTCTCCCCCTAGCCCTTGGCAAACACTAATCTATCTACTTTCTATCTATATGGGCTGGCCTATTCTAGATATTTCATATAAACGGAATCACACAATATGTTGCCTTTTGTGTTTGGCTTCTTTCACTTAGCATATTTTCAAGGTTCATCCATGTTGTAGCACGTATCAGTACTTCATTCTTTTTTATGGCTGAATAATATTCCATTATATGGATATACCACATTCTGTTTATCCATCAGTTGCTGGACATTTGGGTTGTTTCTACATTTTGGCTGTTATGAATAATGCTGTTATGAACATTTACGTACAAGTTTTTGTGTAGACAAACGTTTTCAATTCTCTTGGGCATATACCTAGGAGGAGAATTGCTAGGTCATATGGTAACTCTATGTTTAACCTTTTGAGGAATTGCCAAACTGTTTTTCAAAATGGCTATACCATTTTGCATTCCCACCAGCAGTGTGTAAGGGTTCCAATTTCTCCACATCCTCGCGAACACTATTATCTGTCTTTTTGATTACAGCCGTACTACTGGGTATAAAGTGGTATCTGAATGTGGTTTTTATTTGCATTTCCTAATGACTAATGATGTTGAACACCTTTTCATGTGCTTAATGGCTATTTATATATCTTTTCCCAAAAAATTTTTATTCAAATCCTTTGCCCATTTTTTAATCAGGTTATTCATCTTTTTATTATTGAATTATAATAGTTCTTTATATATTCTAGATACAAATCCCTTATCAGATATATGATTTGCCAACATTTTCTCCCATCCTGTGGGTTGTCTTTTCACTTTCTTAAGTGTCCTTTGATGTACAAAAGTTTTTAATTTTGATAAAATCCAATTTATTTTTTCTTTTGTTGCTGTGTTTTTGGTGTCATATCCAAGAAAACACTGCCTAATCCAAGGTCACAAAGATTTATTCTTCTATTTCCTAAGAGTTTTATAGTTTTAGCTTTTACACTTAGGTCTATGATCCATTTTGAGTGAAATTTTGTGTGAGGTAAGGGTCTAATTCATCTCTTTTTTTGCATGTGAATATCCAGTTGTCCCAGTACCATTTGTTGAAAAGACTATTCTTTCCTAGTGAATTGTCTTGGCTTAATTTTTAAACTCCAAATTTCTCTTTAGGATAGTCATATTTAGGAGTCCATAAGATCTAGAGATGCCTCCTATAGACTGTTTTTAAAAACAAACTTGTGGAATTCTAAAATGGTTTTCATAAAGAAATTCAAAGACTGTTTACACTATTATGGAATTGTGAAAATGTCACTCACACACAAAAATACCTTGTAATCAAAGGATAAAATCTGTATTAAATAAACTGTCTTATGTGTAAAGAATATAACCCACACAGAATTCCTTGTTCAAAAAAAACTGATTATATCTAAACAAAATAGTGTTCAGATGACCAACTAAAAAAATGGCCAATTAAAAAATAATCCGTTTATATGAAGGCTAACTAAAAAGTGTTCAGAAGGCCAATGTGAACCTTCTAATAATGAGTAGTGAGGCAGTCAAAGCCTGAAGGGAAGCCCCATGCAAGTGGCTATTGACATAAAAATGGCCTGGAAGCCTAAGCAAACCATAAGCTTCAGTGAATTAATTCCTAGGAGATGATGCAGAATGGGCTAAACACTGTTTTCTATTTGAGCCTGAGAGAAATCTAGAGCCATACTATCTAAAGGTTAATTTGGGGATAGTACTTAATTTGCACGTAAGTTTAGAGTTTTCATTTTTCTCTAAAAATGTACACCAATATGAATAAGCATTATTTTAACAGACTTTTTGATTAAAAAAGATGAACTTGAAAAAACATCATATTATTGTGCGATTAAGAGCACATCGTCATGATGGCTGTCACAAAACATATATTTTCAAAGACATGAATTTAAATGGAAAGAAACTAGGTGAGGGTCTGAAATATGAGTTTTTTAATTTCACAAAGTAGGTGACCCTGAGTACATCACTCCTGAGCCTCAGTTTCATCATCTATGAAATGAGGCTATCATCTGCTACATGGTGTGACCTGTCAGAACTTAATGACATAATCATACATAAAAATGCTTATAAAAATGCCTGGGAGATAGTAGTAGGCACGTATTATTAATTTCCTATTCTTTTCAAAGCAGTAACCTCACCTTACATACACAATTCTTGCTACCTTGGCTGTTTATCTCTCCAATATACCACCGTAATAATTTTTTTTTAAAGAGTAGATCTTGGTAAAATGAACTAGATAAATATTTGTGTGTTTTACTTACAAGGACAGGAGTGATGCTAGCTCTTGTCAGCATCTGTTTTACAAGTCTATATCTATCATAGAGAGGTTTAACAATGTGCCTTTCTTCCCTGGTCACCTGAAGCAAGAAAAATGGAAATTACCTAGTCAGAAATCTAAATGCCCAAAATAGTAAGCAATATGACTTTCTCTCCAATTTTTAAGAAGTTATTTTAAATAAGTAGGTAATCTCCCAAATGTAGGAAACAATGTCCTATAAAACAGTTCTGTATACTGTAGACTACAAAAGTGATCCATGCCCTTTTTTAAGACAGAAAATCAAATCTTTTTAGCAAGAGAGACATTACCGGCCTTCCATGTTGACTTTCATAGTAAAGAAGACTTTTCTGGAGAGAAGTTTTCTCTTCTATCAAATGATCTTTTGTCATCTTCTAAAATTAAAAAAAAAAACTTCCATTGGCACCATCATTATTCTCCTCACCCCCACAACTGTAAATAATCAGGTTGAAAGGGCAGGCCATCACCAGTCTAGCCTAGGCTAATAATAATACATCCTTTGCTTATGGATTTACAGACAACATTTTTCAGTCTCCTATAGAATCTGGTCTTCCAATAAGTAGGTACCAATCCTCTTTGGTGACTTGATTTATATTTTATCTGAATAAGTTAGGAATACTAGCTTAGTGACCTTGGGTAAGTTACATAACCTCCTTTTGTTCAATATCATAATCTGTAAAATGAGAATACTTCACTGTACCTCAAAAGGCTCTAATGAGGACTAAATGAGTTAATATGTTGTAAAACATTTACAACAGTGCCTACCTAGCACACAATAAGCACACATAAATGCCTATTATTTAATTTTGCACAGTCTTTTATTGGCATTATAACTGTAATTTTGTGTGTGTGAACAGACACACACATACATGCATACACAGCACAGGTCTTATAATCCAATATTTCTCCTAAACGATTAAGAAAATCTGGCAGCAGTATAGTAGAAAGATCCTGGAAAAAGCTCGACAATGTCAGTATGTGACCTTAGATTTCTACTCTATGACCTCAGTTTCCCTTCACCTGACTGTGTCTTTACACTGCATTACTCTTCTCATATCTTTCAGTAATCTAAAGGGTAGAGTAGGCAGGACACCTCAAATTTATTTGCCCAAAGAACCCTCCTCCCTTTGTTCCACAGGACCACCTTTTTTTGTGTGTGTGTGAGGAAGATTAGCCCTTAGCTAATATCCGATGCCAATCCTCGTCTTTTTGCTGAGGAAGACTGGCCCTGGGCTAACATCCGTGCCCATCTTCCTCTATTTTATATGGGACACTGCCACAGCATGGCTTGACAAGTGGTGCATCGGTGTGCACCCAGGATCCGAACCTGCAAACCCCGGGCCGCCAAAGTGAAGCGTGTGCACTTAATGGCCATGCCACTGGGCCAGCCCCCATAGGGCCACTTTTTAATATCCCAATGAACTAATGTTCCAGAGAATACCCTCTAACACTAGACCAAACAAACTCTCTACTTATTCCTGGGACTAGATAATACTACCCTGTTTCTCACCAGAGTGAAATTAGAGGTAAAAAACAAATTCACTGAATAGTATCTTCCTATAACAATATCACTTTAGACTATGTACATTCAGTAGAGGATATCTGGGTGTAGACTCTGTAAATCATTGTGATTTCAACCTCAAGCTCAAACCTTAAACCTAAGGTAATGAATTTGAATAAAGCTAATCCAATCAAAATCATTTATAGGAAAAGGGGATGGGGAGGAGAGGAGGCTGGTCTAAAACAAAATCAGAAAAACAAGATAAATTGGGGAGGGGAGCAATTCGAATTTCTAATCCAGCTCTGTTCAAAGGAGAGTAAGACTCCAATACTTAGATCATAAAAGAGGTGTACTCTGTTCTCAAGATAGGAATGTGCATCAGGACTCATCACTGCCTGGACAAAAGTTCACTTGAGACCATCTACCTCTGTACTCTCCCAGCAAAACTCATCTGATACATGATTTGGGTTTCCAAATGGTTTGACCAGGACTGCCCTAGACATAGCTTTACTGAGTAATGGTTCTTCAAAAAAAAATCCATTCATTTAATCCTCATAACAACCATATTGTGTTAGTATTTTAATAGACATAATCACATCCATATAAGACACAGAGCTATTGAAAGGACTCAGTGGCAGAATGCACGTAATATAACCAGTCAGAGCCTGGCATAGGCTAAGAGCTCAATACAAGTAATTATTAAGAGACAAGGCCAGGATTCAAACTCAGGTATACTTCATGTTCTTTACATACTCATCTTGCCAAGTGCTTCTAACATAAATGAAGAGATCAGCATTCTAGTTTTTTAGTTTTATTATTCAGTCCTTGAATGATCAGGCACTTCTGATGTGCTGATAAAAACATGTTTCTACATCTGCAAGTTTGGGGAGCAGACTAAGGCCAGTCAGACAACCTAGACATCTCTTTGTTTCAGAGACTCTAAAGGCTAGTGTGGGCAAAAATCATAGCTCAACATTACTTTGACATCTTCTGGAAGACATCTCTCAACACGTTTTTCTTTCAGTCTTTTCAGAATAAGTTCAAGTGTTGCTTCCTTAGATGGCTTCTTCTCCTTCTGAATGACCCTGGATTCATCTTCATTCTCTTCGTCTTCATGGTCTAGAGAAGAGCCAAAGCTTTTTGGAAGAGTGTTACTACGTGGACGTGTCTGAGGTACAAATTCTCCATCAGAGCTTTTGTGTTTTGCATCTACATTTCAGAACCAAAAGAATACATTGGTAATCTTGATTTCAGCTAAAGTGCAACTAGTCAAAAGAGTAAGCAAGATATAGTATACAACAGGAAAGCATGTATTAACAGCACACAGGCTCAGATATTCATGAAGGTCACATGAAATATTTAAATTTAAATTTTATATATTTTATAAATATATAAAGTATGTATAGCAAGAGAGCTCTAATATTCATTCTTTCAACCAACATTCATAGAAAGCCTAGTATAAAGTCAAGCACTGGAGATGTGGTAGTAAACAGACGTGGTCCCTGTTTTCATGGAGCATATATGCAGAAAAGTAAAAACAAAAACCAAGCAATCAGATTCATAAGCAAAATAATTTCAAAGAGTGCTAAGTGCTATAAAGAAGATAAAATAGGATGGTGTCATGGTGCTAAAAGGAGTGTGCTTTGTGGAAGAGGAACTACATTGGATGGGATTGACAAAGGCAGCCCTTCTGAGATGGTGACATCCTAGTTGAACACGGAATAAGGAGCTAACCTAGCATAGAAGATTTAGGGGATTTAGGAGAAGAGCATTACTCCCCAATGAGGCAAGAGCCCATGCAAAGGCCCTAAAGCGTACCATGTTTAAGGAACAGAAAATGAGAGAGGAAAGTGATAAAATGGGCTAAGGGCAGAGTATGCAAGGCCTTGAAAGCCATGGTAAGGAGTCTGGACTTTATTCTAAGTGGAAAGAGAAGCCCACTGAGGGCTTTGAACAAGACAGTAACATAGTTTTTTTTAAAAGATAATTTGGCTGCTATGTAGAGAATGGACTGTAGGACAGTAAGAGTGGGAGAAAACTGGGAAATCAGTTAGGCTAATGCTAGTCAATTTAATAACACTCACTAGTAATACATACAAGGTAACAATTTTCACTGATGGTTGGAAATTGGTATTAAACAAGAAAATGCTTAATAGAATTGTAGGGGAAAATTCTAAAGAAGAGGTAAAAGAACTTAACCACAAGAATATAAACTCAATGACAATAGGGACACTGTCTTCTTGTTCACTGCTATAGTCTCAGATGTCTACAAGTACTTAGTACTTAAAGACACTAAAAATTTGCTGAATAAATTCAAATGAATAAACCAAAATGTGATGCTCAAGATTATAAACCCACACTACTTGGTACAGATAATTTTTTAATTATTAACAATTATTAAAAAGCATGCTCGGACCGGCCCGGTGGCGCAAGCGCTTAAGTGCGCGCGCTCCGCTGCAGCAGCCCGGGGTTCGCTGGTTAGGATCCCGGGCGTGCACCAACGCACCGCGTGTCAAGCCATGCTGTGGCAGTGTCCCATATAAAGTAGAGGAAGATGGGCACAGATGTTAGGTCAGGGCCACTCTTCCTCAGAAAAAAGAGGAGGATTGGCATCAGATGCTAGCTCAGGGCTGATCTTCCTCACCAAAAAAAAAAAAAAAAAAAGCATGCTCACTAAACACCCACAAGGTAGATATGCCTTAGCAACTGCTGTACTGGGCTGACACTCGGTAACACAAGACCTAGGTTTTGATTCAAGAAGACTTATAATTTAGTCTTTGTAGTATAAATAGTTATGATCAGATATTCTTAGCTTTAGATGAAATACCAAAAATTCTTAATGAAATAGCTACCAAAACCCAAAACTGCTTAATATTTGAAATATATTTCAGATAAACTTTTATCACCTATGAATATACAAGCTAGGGCATCTTTCAAAAGAGTATTCCAAATAAAAACACAGGAAAGACATTTGGAAGAATTATATAATATAGTACCTCAACTTGGACCATAACTAATAAAGAACAAAAGGAAACTTTTATTTTTGCCAGTGTCCAATATTTAAAATTATAAAAAATTATAACTATAATTCTTATGGACATTATTATAAAGAATATTTTTAATTGCAAATATATTACAAAAATGGCACATTTTATACCTTTAATTTGCTTCCGCAGTTTGGTAAGCTCTGTCATCCATTTTAATACCTTTGGATTGGCTGCAATGTCACTGTAGGAGGGCTGAGAAATTAAGGAACAATATCACTGACACTTTTGTGGTAAGCAATAGTTATTAATTTATTCCCAAATAACATTTCACACTTTCCACATCAGAGATTTCACTCATTCCTCATTTCAGCTTTCCTTATTTTAAGTAGATAGGGCAGGATATTAAGTAAAGCTCTGTCAGAGCAGGGTTTAGCAAATGGCAGAAGCCCAGATTTGAAGATGAGTTTCTGACTCCAAGTATAGGACTCTTTCCACGTTACATGTTCTAATTATTAAATCTCTCTCTCTTTTCCCCACACCCTGGGTACTTGTGGTTTTTGAGAGAGCAGAAACAGAATTAACATGATTTGTCAATGTAAAGTATTTGCTTTAAAAATTCTACAAGCTGTTTTACAATGGAAATATAAAGATGCAATGGTGCAATGGCAAGAATACTGGCCTGGAAATCAGGAGGCTAAGGATCTGTATAATCTCAGATCTATATGATCACTATTTCTCTGGGCATCTCAGATTCATTCTCTCTCCCAGGAAAGAGATGGACTAATCCTCTCCAAAGACTTCCACTCAGTTCCAATAGATCTACCTCATGCTGGGCAATGCTACAAACTTACTTTGCTATTTCTTTCCCTTTCAAACTGTTCCTCAAATTGTCTGATTTTTTTCTGAAGTTTCTTGACCAATTGATATGGTGTTCTGTCTTCTCTTTTTTCATCTTTTGAACTAAAGGATGATCTTCGAATTCTGAATTAAAACAAGAGGTGAACATTATATATTAAATTATAACTTAAATTTTCAAGTTATCAACCCTATATCTCTCACTGCCCTAATATAACATGATATTATTACCAAGAAGTATATCTTTCAAGTAAAATTAAGTCCCTAACACTAAAGGACAGGTAGTAAAAAGAAACTTACACTCTTGCTTTACAGACCACAAAATTAGCTAACACAAGTGGTGATGAAAACAATTTGGAATCATTCAAAAGTTGTTTGGGCAAAGGCAGAAAAGAAACAAAGATACCTAGCAGCTCAGAGCTCTTTCTGCAAAGGAAAGATTTTGACAGAGTCAATTTAATTTAAAGTTTTGACAATAAAAACATTAGGGATTGGTGAGCTCCACCTGCTGCTTCCCTTCCAGAGTTCTGGATTTCAGTCATGCATGAATAAATGAACAAATACACGGTGAGGAAATGTCGATTAGGGAGCAAACCCCAAACACTGCACCTCAATGAATGCAGAATTTAGGGGCCCAAAAAATAAAAAATTACCAAAACATGCTTCAGGAAATAGAGGAGAAAGCTTTGAGCTGCAGGTCTGGAGGATTAAATCTCTTAAAAGAACCTGGGTACATATTAGGAATCACTTCTCATAAGTACATAAAAATCACATACCTAGCAAAAGAAAGTGCTTTAGACGAGGAATCCAACATTTCTGGATCATGTAGGAAACGCTGGCTTTGCCCAAAATCTAAACTACGGTGTGATAATACTGGAGGACAGTCCTCTTCCAGGGGGTGATGATTCATTCTTCCAGCTTGTGGAGAGAGCTGAGCTTCTCCAGACTCAGAGTCTTCCTGCCAAGACTTAAAAGCAGGAAATGGCTCTGCAAAACAAACACAAAGGATAGTACCATGGGTCTCTTGGTTCCACATGGAAAAAATGTCACACAATATCAGCTATATGTTCTTTAAATCTTATCAGTATGTAGTGGATCACATAATATATATTTAAAAAAAAAAAACAAAACAAAACAAGGGATACTAGGATCTTCATAAAGCCTACTATAGTTTAAAATTGTCTGAGCTTCATTTTTTACCCCAGAGTTCTATTTTCACATAAGGGAGTTATAGCTTAAATTTCTGAACCCAGTCACAAAGCAAGAAAAAACACTGTCAAGCTCTTTAAAATTATATTAATTGTCATTTTTCAAGTAGGGGAAAGTCTTCATTTAGAAACAGTAAACACTCAATAGTCCTTAGGAATTTAACTTAGCCAAATGCTGCCAGGTAGAGAAACTGTCCCTCACTGTATGTCAAGAAGTGGAAGCTATACCCCATGCTATACAGAACACTCACCAAATGGAGCTCTCTAGACTCCAAAACATTTCCAAACAAGCAGCTAACTGACCTGACAGCACCTGGCCTCTAACATTAAACTGTGGTGGTTATTTTCTGTTACAGGATACCTGTGTATAATATATATTTTAACCTAAACACCCAACGGTATTAACAAGACAAAATTTAATAGCACTAGTCCTTCTTAAGTACATCTATTTTATTGGCGTTATCCTGCATGTTCTCAAATGAAACTATGTTGATATATGTGATGTTTCTGCACATATAAGGTTTGATTACATCCAGAACACATACAGATAAACACAAAATCCACAAATATATTCCAAATACAAAATTAACTTCAAGTATCACTGGAGTCCAGGAGGGGGGATAAAAATTCATCTACACATTAATTTTATTCATAACTACAATTTAAAACTTTGATACTATGACTATTAACAATAGCAAAAATGAGTTTTTAAGTATTTTTGGATGCAAAGATGGCTTGACAGTGTCAGAAATCAAGGATGATGTTTTCTTTTTCTTCACACAATAGCTAAAGACTGCTACTTTAGTAACGTAGTTTAACTTTATGCATTAGCAATTTAAAGCATTACATTTTTTTCAGGGTGTAAGAACATAATTTAGTTAGTTTTTAAAGCCCAGATCAATCTGATAACTAAAAATTGGGTACAAAGCGTGCAATCCCACTATAAACCCAACAATAAAGTGATTTTCAAAGCAACCCTTGTACCTGCTTCCCAGCAAATAAGCAACCGGTAATAAACATTTTGTGAGAAATCTCCTATTTTAAGAAAAGAGAAAAGTAACAAAAACAATTTTTTCTGGGTATCATTTTTAACCCAGAACAGTTTTCCTAACATATGGGGACAGCAGGAGAAGGGCTAATAAAAGGGCAAACAAAGTGAACCATAAAAAGGCAAAAAAACTAAACTATGGTGAACCATACTTACCCTCCCCATCTCTCTGCAGATGCATTGTTTTGAAATCAATGAGGGGAAAAGTGATAGGGCATGACGCTAATAAAATGGAAAAAATGGCAAAAAATACTAAAGTGAACACACAGCACAGTCAGAACAAACCATACACATAACTAACACAAAGCCAAAGATACCAAAAACATTTCCCTAAAACCAGTTAAGACATTCTGCTCAAAAACTTTATTCAAAGAAATTACTACTAACCAAACTTTATAAACAAACACAAACATACATTTCCATTTCAGCAAGCAAGGCAAAAAAATCAAAGTAGTGCTGTTTTATTAAAACTCAAACATAAAACTGAAGAAATGGAAACTCTTAACCAGGTTCTGTTTGAAGCTTTTCAGTATAATTGATTTGACAGATAAATATCTCCCTTAGTTTGCTCTTTGAAAAGATCCTACTATATTTCATTCAAGAGTTAACAGGAAAGAATCTGAAGGAAAGATGCTGTCCACTTCTATTAAAAGCCAAGACTTTTAAACGGCTGCTACAAATTCATACTAGTGGTAGACAAGTGCTACCTGCTTGCTAACTGCATTCTGCTGACTATCCCTTCAGCAATTCAAAAAACAAAACCCACATACTTAGGAGGAGGAAGGTGGGCCTCTATTTGGAGTCACCCTACTTCTCTATTAAGAGTCACATCAAACAAAGTATGTCTCTGATTCCAAGTTCTCTAGGGTCTAAAGTAATTTGGTCTCTTAAGGAAAACTTTTATTTATCCTAATATCCTAACTCCTAGGTGTAGAAAATCAATCACTATATTGGTGGCAAAGTTGGAAGGAACAACATGGTCTGCTAACAGCCACTCTCCCAAGCACATGCAGGGTTTGTGGCTGAGAAGTTCACTCAGATGTCTACTACCGTTGGCTCTCAGAAAATCACTGACTCCTATTCCTGGAAGAGCCAGCAGGAGGCCTACGTGGACTTGTCACAGCTGTTGAGCCAGGTGGACAACAGCAGATCAGGCACTGAAAATCAGGATCAAGTAGTCCATAGTTACCTCCTTTCCCTACCACAAGGTGTAAGGGGTAGATTCTGACAGGGAAACAAACGAGAGCCCAGCATTATGTTCTCTTTGGGGAAGCCTCAAAAAAGCTGAAGCTAGACAGAGAATGTCCTATCTCCTCAGACAACGGAACCAACCGCTCTTCTATGTTTAAAACATAAGATCAGGACCCTAGGCCGAAGATTGCAAAGGGCTATTTATCTGCATCCTCCAAGAGGAAGAAGCATAAGTCCTTTGTCAGAATCCCAGCCTCATCTTTGAAAGATTCCTTTCCTACTGCGGCTCCTGGGATGCTCTGTTGACTACCACTCCTTTTTAGTGACTATGCCAGAATAATTAACTAAAAGGGACATTTGATCTTCACTGCCACCAGGATGCTAACATATCCCCTAACTCCGGGGAGCATCTTCATAAATTCCAAATGTCCTGAATAACCCAGAACAAAGCAAATGAAAGACAACTTCTTGATTTAGTGTAAGTTAAGACACAATATGCCACTGGGCATGCCAAACATCTACACCAAAAAAAAAAAAAAAAAAGGAAGGGGTGGAGAGACAGCAGTAAAGATTGGCACAGACAATGACTTGATTGGGGCTTTTTAAAAATTGGCTATATCTTAAAAATATATAAATATATAAAAACACTCCAACTGTGATCAGGTGAGTGGACTTGAGGTGGCAAAAGGAGTCCATGGTATTGGTATTGCAATTCCTCTTATTATTGCCACTGTATGTCATCAGCTAACTTGCCAAAGGTGAGATAACCAAGGGATCTTCATCCAAGTGAACAAATATGTAACTTTAAGATTCCTGAGTCATCTCATTGTCTCTTTCCCTAGGAAGGTTTATGATCCAGAAGGACTCCTGGATCCAAATTTGTTGCTTGCATCCCCCACCCCCAACATTTTATTTGCAAATTTACAAATATACAGCAAAGTTGAAAGAATTTTACAATGAACGTTCATATACCAATCACCTATATTCTACCATAACATTTTACTATACTTGCTTTATAACATTTATCCATCCTGCTGCCATCTTATTTTTCTCATGGATTTCAAAGTAAACTGCAGATATCAATATACTTCCCCAGAAACACTTCAGCATGCAAATCACTCACTGGAGTTCAATATTTATTTAGTTTTTGCTTCTTGTGATAAAAAAAGAAAAACTTATATACAATGAAATGCACATCTTAAATATACATTTGCTGACTTTTGACAAATACGTATTTCCATGTGGCTGGCTTTTAAAATTTAAACTTCTCTCCTTTGTGAAAATTGTTAGGACCCCACTCCCATATCTTCATAACCTGATACAGGGATACAGGGATATGGTACAATATTTGTTTACAAATGCCATTGAAGATCATTTAAAAAAAGTATTCCTGGAGATCATAAAGAAAAGATAGCTATATATAAGCCCTCTGTTTAGATGTGGTGAGATCCCCTAGCTGTAACATACTGGTCTTGCAAAGACTGGGAGATAGCACCTGGTTTAACAATTAACAAAAGCCTGTCCTAGGTGGTTTTATTTTTTTAATCAGATCTAACATCCATCTTTAAAGCTAGTGGATCAAATAAGAACTTCTAGTTCATACAAGATAGTTGTCCATAATCTCATTAGTGTATTTGAGTAAAAACACTCACTAGCTCTTCTTATATGAAAGAGAGAATAGAAAAATTGAAATGAATAATGTTATCCAGAAAAGGGCAGTAATCTCATTACTGCTTTGGGTAATTTCAGTTACAAATAACACTGTCAGGAAAATAATGTGTATGGGTAAAATTACCTTCCCATTTATCACCATCAGAAATATTCTTCAGATCTAAATGTGGAATTTGGACACATGCTGCTTCCCCTTGAACACCAACACTTTGACCTCCTGGCACTTCTGATTCAGTGTTGGCATTCAAATCACATATCTTGCTACTAGAATCCTGTATTTTAAAATAAAAAATACATTTCACAACCATGAAGCTTTTCACCCAGCTTAAATATAACTAGCATATATCCTTGTGTAGTCTTCATTAGTTTATTGTGCCTGTACAGTCAACTGTCCCACTCCCACCATCCCAACTATTTTCAAATATAAATTTGCAATTTTATAATATATCTTACTGGGAGACAAAGTTTGGACCCCAAATTCAGGAAAGTGTTTTGTTTTGTTTTGTTTTGTTTTGTGAGGAAGATCAGCCCTGAGCTAACATCCATGCCAGTCCTCCTCTTTTTGCTGAGGAAGACTGGCCCTGGGCTAACAACCGTGCCCATCTTCGTCTACTTTATATGGGACGCCGCCACAGCATGACCTGACAAGTGGATTGGTGCGCGCCAAGGACGCGAACCCAGGCTGCCAGCAGCGGAGCGCGTGCACTTAACCGCTACACCATGGGGCCAGCCCCAGGAAAGTGTTTTCATAACCAAATTTCTTGTAACCAAAAGTGGCAAATTAAGTTGCTGCTTAACTGTAAAACATTTGGTAAGAGTATCTCTATTTTAATTTCCTTTAAACTTATTCAACCTAAGAGTTAAAGGCCAGACATAATAATCAGTAGATTAAACCTAGTTGAATTTTTAAGAACTGTAAGAGAAAAGTAGTTCTTACCAGAATCAAATGTGACAGTTTACCACTGTCAAATGACAAATATTCTTTCCTAAAAATACAAGTGAAGTTATTAGTCTTTTAAGAATAAATAGGTTACTATCATTGCATATTTCTTACCTAGATTTCTCTGTTCCCCATATAGTTAGCATTTATAGTGTGAGAGAAGAAAATGACAATTGAACATATGCCCATTCTTTGGAGCCCTATATCTGAAAATCACACACTACTGAAAAGATCCACAGAATCACTTCAAGTTCAGAAAAATTAAGTTAACGTTCACCACCCTCCCACACAACCACCCCCCAAAAGGAAAACATTTTGAAAAGAAAAATAAAATCTACAATGAATAGAAACCAAAAGGATTGAATATATAATGGAAAAGATTTTGTAAAATAAATATTAGTTTTAACCAAACAGCTCTATTCTTCCCCACTCTAGGACATTTTTTTTCTTTTAAAGAAGATTTTTTTAAAGGTATAGCTGTGTCCTATATTTTAAAACTGATTGTGTTCTATCACAATCAAAACAAGGTTACTACTTTAAACCTCTTCTTCCTCAAAACATGATACCGTGTAAAAAGAAAATTTCTTAAAATTTCAATTCACCTTTTATTCCCCCCACAACACTAATCCCTATTTAGAACAAGTGTTACAGCAAGCTGTCACAAATGATCTCTACCTATTTGACCAGTCAACAGAGCATCTAGTATCATAGTAGGTTATCAATATGCCTATTGTGGGAAAGTTCTTCTCCCCAGATACTGCGGCAATTTACGATGATACACACAGGTGCTGTGAACACTGCCATAAAAGAGTGCACTCAGAAGACAGGTCTTGCTCTCAATACAGCACGTCATCTCCTCATATACCTAATTACCTTATTCTTGCTGAGCACAAGAAACAAACTAAATTCCTTGGCAAGCTCAAAGGCCTTCCTCTGCTTGGAGTGGGAGCAAATGGTGGGAAGAGCTAAATTCTACCCTCACACACTAAAAGACCTAATCACCTAAATTTGAGAAACGAGTGTTAAACATGCAAAATGTAATCCACCTAACCAAGGAATAATTTTGGATCTAAAAACAAGTTTGCTAACCTATACACAAGTTGAAGAGAAAAGAGCTTTTTCCAAAAAGACTGAGTCCTCACTAAATGGATCCTTATGGTTCTACCAAATCCAGATGTCATCATTCTGGAGATGCCTGTTAATGCTGTTAATCTTATATCTTCAGCCCACAGCTCCAATACTCCCTGGGCTGGAAGAAGATCATTCCTGCCTCCTGAAAGGAAGCACAAGGAACTGCTGTAAGCAGGAAATCTGTGGACCTTCAGAGTATGGGGATGCTCCAGAGACATGGCTCCAAAGAATTTACTTACCCTCAGAGAACAAGTTTCCAACTCACAATTAAAATTTGAGACAATGGCATTAACACAAGTTTACCCATGCCAACAGGCTATCACCAAATTAGTAATGCTGTTTGGAATTTCTCAGTATTTACAATCTAGTCTGCAACTTCATTACTGATGTGTAAGATGAATATCAAATCATCTTTCCTAAGAGAGTGATAATATACTTCTTGGCAACATCTTCCAGAATCATAAAAAGAGTAACAAGACCCAAAACCTACCCAGTGACTTAAAATACTCTAGAAAGCTTCATTCAAGAGGACTCTATCTATCAAGTATCTATGGAGACTACATCTGGCTGAAGTACTCATTGCCTCAGGTGTCCCCCTCCCATTACTGCTAGCCAAGGAGGTAAACAAGCACCAACTGCATACGACTGCACTGGGACACACCAAGGACGAGTTTGAAGGGGAAGGAAAACATCCTATATGTATTTGTCAAAGCAAATATGTTACAATCTTTCAGTTAGTTATCCATAGTTCCAAAACTATGAATTAACTCACTGAAAGGTATATTCAGAATATCAATAAATTCCCAATTGTTCTACAAATCAACTGAAAGTTTTAAGTGTCTCCAAGAAGGTTGTGTTCTTCCCTCTGAATGTTTTCCAAATTTTAACTAATGTCTGTCTGAACCTGTACCCTCTCTGAATATTTATGGACATTTAATATGCTTTATGCTTACCATTAAAACAAGAACCTTGGTTTTTTAGATTACCTAAAATGTATGTTATAATGGATAGCTTTATCTAAAAATTTCACCCCAAAATTTGTATGGAACTCCAATTCTCAAAATGATTAATTGGCAATAATAAGAGAAAATGCTTACCTCTCAAGACAGCCATCTTCACTATCACCATGGTCATTGCATGGCTCTAACAGTATACCTACAGACTGACAAAAAGAACCCCTGTATTAATGGAGCTCCCAACACTCATATATGAGAGAAAGTTATCAATCTAAATTAGGATATTGGATTACAAGTTAGTCAAATACCCATCTTTAACTACTATTTATAATAGCCTGTAGGTGCTGACATCTCTTTTTACAGAGAGTAATTTATCTTCCTCAAAGCCTGAGTCATGCGTTTGAGTGTGTGTGTAAAATGGGGACGCTGCATTTCTCTACCCTATTAGGTCAAAGGTACTGCTACTACTATCACATTCCTTTTCCTTCCTTAGAATTCTTTCTTCCAAAAATGATGGTCTTGTGGTCCCAGCAGCTACCTGTTGCTTCTTTTTCTCCTCAGCCACAAACATGTAAGTTGGTAGCTTCCTACCAAGGTAACAGAAGAGTCATGTAGTTCACTAGATTCCTTTACTACATATATTTGAAATAACAACTGTGAACCTCAGAAACATGAGAATGCTCCCCAATTTTCCAGTGGGCTTACTGACAACATCCCATCCCTATTCCTCCCCGAAATAAATACCTACCAAGTTTAAAACAAATGTCCTGTGTATTACTACAAACCATGTTAACTTTTTAATGTTTTTGATTACCTCTGAAATCAACAAAAGGTTCGATTCTTCTTAGACTCTTAGGAAACTACCAACTGTCCAGATTTTTTTTTTTAATTTTTATTTATTTATTTTTTCCCCCAAAGCCCCAGTAGATAGTTGTATGTCATAGCTGCACATCCTTCTAGTTGCTGTATGTGGGACGCGGCCTCAGCATGGCCAGAGAAGCGGTGCATCAGTGCAAGCCCAGGATCCGAACCCGGGCCGCCAGCAGCGGAGCACACGCACTTAACCACTAAGCCACGGGGCTGGCCCTAATTGTCCACTTTTGTTTAATATGAGACAGTCCATAATTATTTGAAAAAAGCTATCAAAATACTTTTCCAACTACATATCTCCGTAAGGCTGAATTGCCTTCATACCCTCAAAACAAAAGAACCTATAGCAACAAACTTGAATGCAGAAGCAGATATGAGAATCCAGCTGACTTCTATTATGTCAGACAGGCATTAACAATATTTGTAAATATGTAAAACAATGCCACTCCTCAAAATAAAATTTTTCAAAAATAGCTGCTTTTTGACAGAAATACAAGGGAAAAGTAACAATGGAAATATAGAGCAACCGGGAAACAAAAGATAAAATGGCAGTATTAAGCCCTCATATATCAATAATCACTCTAAATGTAAATGGATTGAATTCACCAATCAAAAGACAGAGTGGCTGGATGGACTAAAAAACAAGACCCAACAATATGGCTGCCTCCAGGAAACACATCTCAGCTCTAAACACACACATAGGCAGAGAGTGAAGGGAAGGAAGATGATACTCCAAGCAAATAGCAAGCAAAAGAAAGCAGGTGTAGACAAAGCAGACTTTAAGATAAAAAAGATAATGAGAGACAAAGATGGGCAGTATATAATGATAAAAGGGACATTCCGCCAAGAAGACATAACACTTATTAATATATATGCACCTAACACAGGAAGTATATAAAACAAATATTAACAGTCCTAAAGGGAGAAATTGACAGCAACACAATAGTAGTAAGCGACTTTAACACCCCACTTACGTCAATGGATAGATCATCGAAACAAAAAGTCAACAAGGAAACAGTGGCCTCAAATGAAACACTAGATCAGATGGACTTAGTAGATGTAAAAAGAACATTCCATCCCCAAATATCAGAACACACATTCTTCTCAAGTGCATATGGAACGTTTTCAAAGATGGACCATATGTTGGGAAACAAGGCAAGCCTCAATAAATTTAAAGACTGAAATCATATCAAGCATCTTTTCAGACCACAACGCTATGAAACTAGAAATCCACTGTAAGCAAAAAGCTGGGAAAGTCACAAATATGTGGAGACTAAGCAACATGCTCCTGAACAACTGTTGGATCAATGAAGAAATCAAAGGAGAAATCAAAAAGTACCTACAGACAAATGAAATGAAAACACAACATACCAAAATGTATGGGATGCAGCAAAAGCAGTACTAAGAAGGAAACTTTTAGCAATACAGACCTGCCTCAAACAAATAAGAAAAATCTCAAATAAACAACCTTATCCTATACCTAAAAGAACTAGAAAAAGAAGAACAAACAAAGCCCAAAGTCAGTAAAAGGAAGGAAATAATAAAAATCCAAAAATAAACATATTAGAGACTAAAAAAATAATTAAAAAAAGGATCAGTGAAACTAAGAGCTGGTTCTTAGAGAAGATAAACAAAACTGACAAACCCTTAGCCAGACTCACTAAGAAAAAAAGACAGAAAGACTCAAATAAATAAAATTAGACATGAAAAAGGAGAAATTACAAGAGACACCACAGAAATACAAAGGATTATAAAAGACTACTATGAAAAGCTATATGCCAACAAATTGGATAACCCAGAAGACATGAATAAATTCTTAGAATCAGACAACCTCCCAAAACTGAATCAAGAAGAAATAGAGAAGAATCTGAATAGACCAATCACGAGAGATTGAAACAGTAATCAAAAACCTCTCCCACCAAAAAAGTCCAGGACCAGATGGCTTCTCCAGTGAATTCTACCAAACACTCAAAGATTTAATTCCTATCCTTCTCAAACTATTCCAAAATACTGAAGAGGACAGGATGCTTCCTAACTCATTTTACAAGGCCAACATTACCCTGATACCAAAACCAGAAAAAGACAACACAAAAAAGGAAAATTACAGGCCAATATTGCTGATGAACATAGATGCAAAAATCCTCAACAAAATATTAGCAAATAGAATACAACAATACATTAAAAGGATCATACACCACAATCAAGTGCGATTTGTTCCAGGGATGCGGGGTTGGTTCAACATCTGCAAATCAATCAACGTGATACACCACATTAACAAAATGAAGAATAAAAATCATACAATCAGGGCCGGCCCGGTGGCGTAGTGGTTAAGTTCACGCACTCTGCTTCGGTGGCCCGGGGTTTGCCAGTTTGGATCCGGGGTCCGGACCTACGCACCATTCATCAAGCCATGCTGTGGTGGCGTCCCATATAGAAAATAGAAGAAGATGGGCACAGATGTTAGCTCAGGGCCAATCTTCCTCAGCAAAAAGAGGAAGATTGGCAACGAATGTTAGTTCATGGCCAATCTCCCTCACCAAAAAGAAAAAAAAAAAAATCACATGATCATCTCAATAGATGCAGAGAAAGCATTTGACAACATACAGCATCCATTTTTGATAAAAACTCTCAATAAAATGGGTACAGAAGGAAAACACCTCAACATAATAAAGGCCATATATGACAAACCCACAGCCAACATCATACTCAATGATGAAAAACTGAAAGCCATTCCTCTGAGAACAGGAACAAGACAATGCTGCCTACTCTCGCCACTCTCATTCAACACAGTACTGGAAGTTTTAGCCAGAGCAATTAGGCAAGAAAAAGAAACAAAAGGGATCTAAATTGAAAAGGAAGAAGTGAAACTCTATTTGCAGATGACATGATTCTATATATACAAAAGCCTCAAGAATCCATCAGAAAACTATTAGAAATAATCAACAAATACAGTAAAGCTGCAGGATACAAAATCAACACACAAAAATCAGTTGCATTTCTGTACACTAATAATGAACTAGCAGAAACAGAAGTCAAGAACACAATCCCATTTGCAATTGCAACAAAAAGAATAAAATTCCTAGGAATAAATTTAACCAAGGAGGTGAAAGACCTATAGATTGAAAACTACAAGACATTACTGACAGAAATCGAAGAAAACATAAAGAAATGGAAAGATATTCCATGCTCATGGATCAGAAGAATAAACACAGGTAAAATTTACATACTACCTAAAGCAATCTACAGATCAATGCAATCCCAATCAGAATCCTAATGACATTCTTCATAGAAATAGAATAAAGAATGCTAAAACTTATATGGAACAACAAAAGACCCCCAACAGCCAAACAATCCTGAGAAAAAAGAACAAAGTTGGAGGTATCAGAATCCCTGTATTCAAATTATATTACAAAGCTATAGTAATCAAAACAGCATGGTACTGGCACAAAAACAGACACACAGATCAATGAAACAGAACTGAGAGCCCAGAAATAACGCCACACATCTATGGACAGCTAGTCTTTGACAAAGGAGCCAAGAACATACAATGAAGAAAAGAAAACCTTTTCAATAAATGGTGTTGGGAAAACTGGACAGCCACATGCAAAAGAATGAAAGCAGACCATTATCTTACTCCATACACAAAAATTAACTCAAAATGGATTAAAGACTTGAATGTAAGACCTGAAACCATAAAAGAAAATACAGGCAGTACACTCTGACATCAGCAGCATCTTTTCAAATACCATGTCTACTCAGGCAAGGGAAATAAAGAAATAATAAACAAATGGGACTCCATCAGATTAAAAAGCTTCTGCAAAGCAAAGGAAACCATCAACAAAAGGAAAAGACAATCCGCCAACTGGGAGAAAATATTTGCAAATCATATATCTGACAAGGGGTTAATTTCCAAAACATATGAAGAACTCATACAACTCAACAAAAAAAAAATTGAACATGATCAAAAAATAGGCAGAGGATTAAGAACAGACATTTTTCCAAAGAAGGTATATAGATGGCCAACAGGCACATGAAAAGCTGTTCAACATCACTAATTATTAGGGAAATGCAAATCAAAACTACAATGAGATATCACCTCACACCCATAAGAATGGCTGTAATTAACATGACAAGAAATAACAAATGTTGGAGAAGATGTGGAGAAAAGGGAACCCTCATACACTGCTGGTGGGAATGCAAACTGGTGCAGCCACTACAGAAAACAGTATGGAGACTACTCAAAAAACTAAAAATAGAAAGACCATATGATCCAGCTATTCCACTACTGGGTATTTATCCAAAGAATATGAAATCAACAATTCAAAAAGATTTATGC